ATAGTATTAATGTGTTAAAATACTCAATAAATTGAATAACTAAATACGTTTCCTGGAAACGAAGATAAATTTTGATGAAAAATATATACACAACATCATGAAAGAATGCATAAAACTTGTAGATATATTAAGCACCGCAAAAACAACCTTCAGAATTAAAGTAATGTATGTTTCTTCTTCTCACGCATTATCAGTTCAAAACCAGAATCGCAAACCGGAAGCATAGACACAAGAAATAAGCAAACCTCATATTCAATACGGACCAAGTCCGTTATGTTTTAATTAACTTTTTTTTTTTTTAATTCGATCAATGACCACAAATTTTAAACAAAGTTGGTGTATATAGATAAATAACAAATTTACTTAATGTACCTATTTAATGTGAGATTATTTTAGAAATAATATCCGAATTTGATTGTTTTATTAAGAGGGCAGGTGAAATTGACGAAATTCCACATTAGTCAAATAACTAAGGAACTTGGGGATTTACAGCCGTACACATACATTCATACAAAAAATAAAATTTAGATAATATATATATATATAAATAATTATTTTTTTTCTTTTGTAGAGAGAGAAAGTGCGTGTTTTGGATTGCCCGTCCCGTTTTGTGTTCCTCGTCATATCTTCAAGAGACAGAGAGGAAGGGGAGCAATTAATATTGAAGAGAAAGGAATTTCATCGCTGTTGGATTTTCAGAGGATCGGAGCTAGGGCTTTTTTAATTTCCCCCTAGAATGAAGATTCAGAATGCGAATTGTTGAGAATTCGAGCTCCGATCTTATTGCGAACTTTTGAACTTTAGGGTTTTTCGGCAAGAATGGACGTGGATTCGGCTACGACCGCCGATGCCGATCACGATCCGTCGGAGGAGCCCGTCGCTGCTAATGGTGCCGTCCGTCTCTCCGAATCGCAATCTTCGTTGCCTCTGCAACAGCAGCAAGAAAATAGTGATATGAACAATAGTGATAGTGTCGACGGTGGTGGTGGTGGTGGAGGAGGGGTGGTGGCCGGACCACGCTGTGCGCCGAGTTATAGTGTGGTGAACGCTTTAATGGATAAGAAGGAGGATGGCCCTGGGCCGCGATGTGGTCACACGCTGACAGCTGTCCCTGCTGTTGGGGAGGAGGGGAATCCTGGGTATATTGGCCCGAGGTTAATTCTGTTTGGAGGGGCAACGGCTCTAGAAGGAAATTCTGCTGCATCAGGAACTCCCACTTCTGCCGGAAGCGCCGGAATTCGTATGTTCCATATAACTGAATATATTAGTTTCTTGATTTTTCGGTAGCATTTTATTATTATTTTTTATGTGTTTTGATGAGAGCATAATTTAGTGGAGTGACTTGCAACAAGTATTGTTTTGTTAACTGTTATATAGTATGAAAAGCGGGACACCGTGATGGGAATGAACTTGCTGTTATTATCTCAGATATTAGGTTTACTCTTTTGAGTTAAGTGAGAGAGTGACTGTTTTCTGGTTTGCGAGGGTTCAGGGAAGCACATTTGGTTTATCTTTATTTTTACATGCCGACGTTTATTTTGTGGGGGTTTGAATATTTAGCTGGTGAAGATAGTTGAAATAAATGTGACCTTTCATTCTAATGCTTGTAGCAAAAGTTGAAATTGAAGTTGTGCTTCTTTAGATCATACATGGTAGGTCAATGAAGTCCCACTCTTGAGTCTTGACTGACGTATTTAACCTGTGCTTACGACTAATTAATGATAGAGCTGAATTATTCTTAGTTAAGCATCGAAATGTATCACTAACTCAATATAGAGCTACAAAATTCACTTAAGTAAATATTTTATTGCAGGCTTGGCAGGGGCTACTGCCGATGTGCATTGTTATGATGCGTTGACAAACAAATGGACTAGGTAAGCTGAAGTTAAAAAAATATCAAACTGCATAATTTATTCCAACATCTGACTTTCTCGGGTGTCATTTTTGCTTTTTTTTAGTTTTTTATTGCTTTCTTAATAAGGCTTCCGAGATTTAATTTTTTGCAGAGTTACCCCAATTGGAGAACCACCCACACCTAGAGCAGCCCACGTGGCAACTGCTGTAGGTACCATGGTTGTTATTCAGGTTTGTTGACACATAGAATGATGTTGGAAAGGTACCTGTTATTTTTCTATGACACGGACAGCATTATACTCTAACATTCTTTTCCACTGCAGGGTGGGATTGGTCCAGCTGGTTTGTCTGCTGAAGATCTTCATGTTCTTGACCTTACACAGCAACGTCCAAGATGGCATAGGTTGGTGTCCATAAAAGTATACTTACATATGTAGTAACTTGTTACTTGCACCGACACACCACTGTTTTTTTTTTTGTCTGTTTTCAATTCTGTTATGACTGAATTTTGATTTCTCGTAGGGTTGTGGTCCATGGTCCTGGTCCAGGGCCACGATATGGGCATGTCATGGCTTTGGTTGGACAACGGTATCTCATCGCAATTGGTGGAAATGATGGTTTGTCTGTCCTTTTCAATTGTTTCCCATTTTTCTATCGTGTAATTTCTATAGGCAAATAATTCGCTTCATTTTTATTAGGAAAGCGGCCTTTAGCGGATGTTTGGGCATTGGACACTGCTGCAAAGCCATATGAATGGCGGAAACTTGAACCGGAGGGCGAAGGTCCTCCTCCATGCATGTGAGTTTGGGACACTTTCTGAATGACCTGATTGCTTTTTAGGGTGATTTTTTTTCTTCTGGCCACCTGCCAATTTATAATAAACATGCAGTACTTTGGCCCTATAGATTATGATGTACATACGTTTAGTCCCTCCAACTGAGAAAATATAATTTATTTTCAGATTTACCCCTGCAAAATATTTGAGAAAATATTGGAACTTTAAGATTGTTTCTTGAGCTTAACAATGTGAATAAACCAATGTAAACTAGACAACACTATATTTCATATTTGAATTGTATACTATTAAATAGTAACTACAAATTGTTTCCTTATTTATCATAAATCATGAGTAGTTACTATCATAAGTCTGGTGTCAATGCAATCACCACTTGGAAAGTAGAGAAATTATTCTTAAAGAGTAGTCTAAATTTTGAGAATGAGAATATAGAGCATATCACCAACTTCCTTAAACTCTTGGTATTGGTATTCTTAAAGAGTAGTCTAAATTTTGAGAATGAAAATATAGAGCATATCACCAACTTCCTTAAACTCTTGGTATTGGGTAGGCTTCAGCTCCATGTCTCCATGTTGATAAACGGACACCCCAATTCGGTCACTTTGACCCCCTTTGGGAGGAGGCACCTTTTCTCCTGAAGTTATGTAAACATTGTGTGAAGTTCCTTAAAGAAAATTGTCTCACACCTGAAACCCCAAGGTATATTCTACCCATGGAAACCAACTAATATGGTTTTCTGGTTAATATGTCTTTTACTTGAAGGGTGTCTGAGTTTTTCTTGAAAGTATACATTATGTATAAAGTTTTTATTGATTTAAAAACTATGTTTGTTATATTGATATAGTGGAAAATTCAAGCATGTAACTTTATTGTTGATCTAGTTTGTATTTGTAGTTCCTTTACGTTTTGAACTTCAATTTGTTTTTGAAATCTCATATTTTGACCTCATATTATCAAATATTACAAAATGATTGATAAATTTGAAATAAAAATTTTTTTTTTTTCTTAGTGGAGGTGGACAGTGTCTGAAAACGAGAAACATGGTATTGGTATATTTTAAAATTTATGATAAAATTGTCAACTGTTGTCAGAATTTGGACACAATTAATTGAACATCATAGGGTTTGTAAGTTTGATAAAAGGATTAGATGCTACAAATAAATCAGAAGATGTTAGGCATTCTTTTACGAAGTGTTTACGAGGTTTTTTTTGGTTAATTAAAATAAAACCAAATAAGACCTTAGGGGGTGTGCCAACTTTATTTTTGTCTGTGAGTTTTCTTACCTTTATGCTGACAATATTTGCTTTTCTTGTACAATGGGATTATGTTAATTTTCTAGGGTAGAAAATATTGTTTTCTTGGAGCGATGAGTTTCATTATTCTAGTTTCTAATAGTCGGCATGTAAAACTCATAGTGTAGAAATGACAATTGACTGATATTTTTGGACTTCAAATGGTGCATAGACTGAAACTTTCATGTTTTATCTTGCTTGCCCACTTGCCTAGGTATGCAACTGCAAGTGCACGCTCAGATGGTCTTCTTCTGCTATGTGGTGGGAGGGATGCGAATAGTGTGGTAATGAGATACCAAACATTTTTCCTCATGCATATTATAAGTCTTATCCACATTCATTTGACTCGGCTTTACATAGTTTGTTAGGGGAGTTCTTGCTTCTTTGAGATATCATCACTATGCTTTTCTATACCGCAAAGGCATTGCCCGTGGTACTGGGATGGGGAGGGTAGTTTCAGGTCAAGGGTTCAATTTCCTTTGGGTACGGTTATAGGCCATTTATGAGGCCAATTGTCCTCATTATTTTAAAAAAAACCCATCACTATGCTTTTCTTACTCGCGGTAGAGCTG